TCTGACTGACTATCGATGTACGGAGACGGCGGTGGTATCGTAGTCGATATCGTACGTGCGCCACGCACCGGAAACCGCACGTTCGGCGGCGGAAGCGGCCGCAACAGAAGGCTGGTCGCATCGCGCCAGGGTGATACGCTTTCTCCGCGGACGGATGCGCGCCGAAACCGCGGCGAACAATGACCGGCAACAGGAAGCAACTCGATAGCGAGGTCGTCCGAGACTTCTGCAGGCTTCGGTCATTTCCTTTGGCCCGCGCGCGATTGGCAGCGTTGCGTGCGCTCACGAATTTTCCCAAGCGGCCGGAACAACGAGTATCCTTACACCTTCTGGAGGAAGGTGCCGTGCGAATTACGATACTGGATTTACTCGTTGAAGATGGCTGACTTCCTGATTGTTAGTTTTAAGGTAGAGTTTAGTTTTTGAATTTGTTTTCATAACTAGTGTTTTATTAATAGTGATTTAAGTTTGGGTTTTGTGATGTAGATTTCGTTTGGTTTAGATTAGTTTTTGTTTCGTTCTTATTTGGTTGCTATCGTTTATTTTATATGTAGCTTTTGTAGCTTAGTTGTTATTTAGTTTTTATAGTTTCTATTGAATATCTATATAGTTTTTATAGTTTAATTACTATTTAGTTTACATAGTTTAGTTTGTATTCAGTCTTTACAGCTTAGTTTTCACTTAGTTTCTATATAGTTTCTATAACATAGCTACTACTTAGCTCTCACAGTTCAGTTTCTACTTAGTTTCCACACAGCTTCCATACTTCAATTTTTCCACTGTTTACTTTCAATGCACACTCAAAAGAAATTTCATCAAAAACCCAAGCACTTGAAAAACCATTGACTTTCAATCACCAAATCAATAATTCCTCAAATTACCACAATATTACTAAATAGACAAGAAACCAACCCCTTCCCTTCTCTAGTTTGAATCCAAACATGCGATAAATATAGCCGAGTGAACCGGTCACCGACGAAATATAGAAAAATCGCGGCAAGAAATTCTAAGCCCGCATTTTCATTCAAGGCGCGGTTAATCCGCTAACGAACCGAAACCGTGGTGGCGATCGGTCGAGGCAGTCACGATCACCGGAAAAAATACAACCCAAGACGACAGGTTTCTCACGGTCCGACTAAGGTGCGTATTACAAACCAGTCGTTCGCGATTGTAATTTTTAATTCGTCCGTCACCCTGACCGACCGATTTCGTTTTTTTCGCGGCGCAGCGTACCGTTAGCGCCTCTCTCGCGCGCGTTCCCTGGGTTCCAAAGGGAACCGTCCCGAACAAGGGATCGTAATAACCGCGCCGAACGATCGCGTGCACTCTCTGGACCGCTCTTCCCTCTTCCTTCGGTGTCCGAGAGATCTTTCTCTCGGGGGACATCGAATATCGGTCAGCCCGATGGGAAACCGACCCTTTTTCCTGACGATTTCGTCGGGTCTATTAGTGCCTTTTCTCGACTAATTGGTACCGTTTCGGTTACGGTTGTCCATTAAGTGTGCTAGATTTTGTTTATGACTCCGTGAACCTGTAATTCGAGTTTGTAATTATGTAGCTTATTCTTTTATATTGTGTAATATAATTTTAGCTTTAGATTGGGTTCACCGTCTTGGAGATATTAATAGGTGTTTTGTTTGAAACGCTTAGGAGTAAGTCTTTTTCTTTGATAAATGTAGAAATTTGATTAATATTCGTTAAGTTAAATAGCTAAGTAACATTTCTGAAAACGTATTCAATATGAACACGTTGGCCACGGTGGCCACCGATGACAGGAATTTCTAAATTTCTTGAAAGCAATTAGAATAAGAAAATTGATGCTGAATGAAAATTATTTAGTCATATAAGTAACTAAATACTATAAGTCGCGTAATATATAATCTTACTCTCTATATAATACTACCGAATTTCTAATGGTTCAAATGGCAAAATATGGAAGTGATATTTTTGAAAAAGTTTCAATATTTTATCAGTTGATTTAATGTTACGATTTGTATGTAAGAAAGGAATCCGGATAATTCGCTTCCGGTTAGTAAAGAATCTATTGTTTCGCCTATTTACATGATCCCACGAGTATTAATTTCACAGATCTTTATCGGTTTAGGTTCTATCGGACATACAAAGGCTTACAGTTCATTTTAATTATGCATACGATCAATCGGTATTCCTTCTTGTCTACGGAGGTGAAGAAGAGTGTCCGATATGAACATTTCTGAAACTCGAAACATTTCCTCGCTGCGTTTCTGGCGATCTGTTTCCGCCGATAGGGACCATTTTACAGCCGAGTCACGACCATTTCATTTTTCCTGTTTGCTCGACCGAATCGATGGATTTACCAATCGAGAAAAGTCGTTTTTGCCACGGATTGCGTAATCGTCTTCGTAACTGTTCAATTACTCGTCCATGAGTCAGAGGATAGAGTATAATGTGAAAGAACAAGCTCATTCAGTCTCAACGTGTTACACGTGTTAAATCCACTTGGGTTTTTAATCTTATGATAGAATGGGGCGACTGTATCGAATGACATTCAATTACAGGTACTTTGAGAATAACATTCGATTAATTTCCGAGTTTGAGATACCATTTTTAAATTGAATTTCTAAGTTTGAATTGATATTTTTGATACTTCGAGGAATTGTCCTAATCCAATCATCTGTTTTTAAGAATAAAATATAATCTGAGTAATAGACATCACAGAAGTTCTATTTTATATTTAATATTTCTTTATTATAAAATAAAAATGTATAACGACAGTAATATAATTATAACAATGTAACATGTATAACAGTAACAATAATGTAAATATAAATATAGTAATA